GGGGGGGGGGCGTGACTTGCGAAATGGGCGGGCGCATGCCTCGATGACATCACCTGCGGGAGACTCTACCATCGCCGCTTATACACGAAATTGAACAATCATTTTTGGCTCTAAATAGTATACATGATACATATTTACTACATGAATACATTGTAAATATATGTTTTACAAATACGTTATTATATATCGATAAAAGAATTTTTGGCGCTAATTATTCTCTTTTTTGGGGGTGCGCCACGGCATTGGTGACCAGCCGATGTGTCAGCACTTATCCTCCCAGACGAGTCTGGTACCAATCAACCGGTCCCGATCGTATAAAAAGCTTGCTTATCCTGTGCGGTATTGATCCAGGATTCAATCTAGAACCATGCTGGTGATAGTGCGCTCTTCGCCACTACACCAGCTCCATATGTCTCCTTGAATAGTTCTGACTTTCTATAGAAAATCATCCTTTACATTGTAGAATTGTCCTTTATCCTTATTCCCCTGAATAATAACGACCCATTGTGGAATCAGCCAGTTACACTACCATTCTATAACTGCTTTTATAACTCCTTGTCAAGGTTTTTTTTCTCATTAGTCAAACATTCTTCTTACTTTTTATCTAATCATTATCACCCACGCAATCATAAACAGTCCCATTCTTCAGCTATTCGCATTGCTCGCATTGCATTTTACTTTTCAGCGATTACTTCCTCGTAACATTTCTTCCCATTTTTTACAAATCAAACTGTATTGGAAATATTGACCTTCTTTCCCCCTACAACAGTAGGGCGTTTTATCCACTTTCGAGTATCTCTATGATTTTGAACAGAACTTGAGGTTTTATTCATTACCTAGTTTCGGCTATTGGGACATATCAAGAACCCGAACAGTTTCCTATCTTAAGTTGTCCGCCGATGTAAGTAGGCCAATGTAGTAGCCGTGGCGCTTGACCAGTTTAGTGCGGGACTCTCTTACTAAACCGACTCAGATCGCTGGTAAATGAGAACCCGCAGCCCATCCCTTATGATCGTGGACGGTAGTCGTCGTCGTCATCTCCAGCTTTGTCGCCTTTATTGATGTCCCGAGTAAATGTAGATGCTCCGGCGCTTCCTAATGTCTTTCAGGGGTACGCCATATCCGGATCTCCACTTCGAATTGGGCATCGAAGTGCTGTAGCATCCCATGTGTTCATGATCGAAGTCAGATTTTAACCCTATCAAAGTGCTGGCGAGCGGATAGGTAACACTTTCATAGAAGCACCAGGTTTCCATTTCTCGTGAGATTTCCTGAATATGTTTTTTTCGAGACTTTCCTTCCTTGTCTAGTCGGACGGATCTTTTTAAACTAAATTTCCGATTTTTCTCGATCGATTTTGAATTGTTTCAACTCAGTACTCGACATGAGTTTTTCAAAGTCGATTGGGCTCGCTAAGCTCAGCTACTTCGTCTTTTGGAGAGTTCGAGAGGTTCAAAACGAATCAAACTCATCTCTTAACCCACTAACAATTTGGGAAGAGCTCCATTCACCTACTGGACCATCTATCAGTCGTGGTTGGATAGATATTTCAACAAAGGTCATCCTAATTCCAGCTGTTATGGCGCAAGACCGATCTCCATCATTGGCAAGCTTTTCGACCTCATTTGCCTCTGGGTTTTTTGAACTCCGATCAAGACAGGCAAGCCAAAAGTCGACTGAAGAACGGAATGAATTTCAGACTGCTCACTTCAACCGTTCAACCTTTCAGAAGCTCCCAAACAACTTGTCGTGTTGGATTTCATACATGCGGCAGGGTTCCTACAGGCCCCGGTATTTGTTCTGAGTTCACAGGACACTCAAAACGCTCTTGTCTTATGAGTGTCCTGTCACCATGTGCCTTTCATACAAGAACGACAGAAAGCCCATTTGATTTCCTCTGATGCCCAAGTGATGTTGATAATAGTTTCAATTTTTGTCGCTTTTTTAAAATTCATTTTTCATATACTTTTCATACATGCTGCGATTTACTCGTGTAGCAATACTTCATTTTATGAACTCTTAGTGTGGTAATCAGAAGCCTATTCCCAGTTTTCAACTCCATTGATTTAGGTTCCTCCTTATTTTTTAGAAGACCTTCTTTTCTATTTGTTCAACGTCCTTGTTTACTTGTTTACTTGGCTGCACAAGACAGTATGGAGAGACAACACAAAGGTATCAACTCATACGTACTACTTGCTAACCAAACTCCAGGAGCTCTACTGTACAAAGAGTAAATCTCCTTACTTAAAGAAAGGCATAATTTTAGCCAATGTCTTGGCCTTCTCCAGAGCGCTTTCTTTCCTCCACGTTGGAAACGGTGAAGTGCCGGAAGGTTACCAGTACCATATGCATGAGGTAGGCAAACCAGCCCGTTTGGCCCTTCTGCTGGATGCATTTCCTTATTCTTCGATTCTGTTCAAGAGTCTTATAATCCCACTCAGGGAAAGTACGTGGGGAGTCGCTTCTAAATCACAGGTGAAAGTTCTTTATACGGTGTCCATAGGGCTGCCGTGCAACTGTGACAGTATGGTGTGCTTTAACAGTTGATTCATATATTCGCCCAATGCCTTCCACATGTTAATAAGGAAGTGTCTACCTGGGATTTGAAAGCGACTCCCCACGTACATTCCCTGTGTGGGATTATGAGACCTGCAAACAGAATCGCAGAATAAGGAAATACATTCAGCAGAAAGGCCAAACGGGCTGGTTTGCTTGTTTCCCATATGCATGGTTTAGGGATCGGAACCCAAATAGGTATCT